TTGGCCCGGCGCTCCAAAAGCAAAAGTCACGTGGTCCTGCCGCTCAATATCACTGACCTGAATTTACAACCGTTTTCCAGTGCCAACCATATCGATGCACATTTCATTACGGATGACGCCCGCAGATGTAGCCCGCGATCTGTAGCGTAAAGGAGAAAAACGATTGACAACACATGAAAGTAGGTTTTTGTTGACGTGAAATTGACCATCAGACTCAAACCTCTTTGCGATCTCATTGGCTGATCCGCTGGACAAGTGAAAGTGTGTCACGCTGCGAGAGCCCTGCGCCCGACAATTAGGACAGGCAGTTGAGAGAGAACAGAAAGTCTTCGGAACGCTGCGCTACCAAGCCTGATATGGTTCACTTGTGTGTGTCCATATCAGACGATGGTGTCAGACTGGAGTCTATAAAAAAAGTATCACCCAAGCCGACGAGAAGGAGGCCAAAAAAGACAAACATGGCTACTTTGGAACGACATCCAAGATCCAGAACGGCGTCGACAAGACAGGATCGTGGCTCTTGTTCTTCCACCGCATCATGCCCCGTTTTCTCTGGCTCGTACAGCGACCACGAAGATGACCCTCCGCTGCGTCGTCAGTCATCGCCGCTAATTAAAGGTTCTCTCTCGAGTCTCCACAACACCGCCAAACCGAGCCACAAAAGACACTCTTCCAGCATCCAGGGTTCCGTCACCTCCCTCCAAGGATCATTACCAAGCCTGCAAGGATCTCTTCCAAACTTTAACTTCTCTTTACCAAGACTAAAGGGATCGTTCTCTCGGTTGAGGAGGCGTTCATTGAGCAGCCTAGACAACTCCAGCCCAGGCCCAAGCGAGCGGAGTACCAGCCCCAGTCTACAAAGCGGCATTGGGAGCTCCAGCGACGATGACGGAAGCTGGGACACTAACAGCTGGAGTTCAGGAGCTACTTGCCTGCTCCGGACATCTTCAAAGCAAAGTAGCACGGAGAAATCAGAGGAATCAGGCGGAATAGTCGGCAACACGGAGCAGGCGTCCACTAGTGCAGTGGCGGAGCCTGAAATCATTTACCAAAATCTCATCTTTACACGGCCGGCCCCGAAAACGGAAATTCAAGGTCATTTGGAGAAAACCGACGCAGTGCAAAAGAAAGACACAGGGACCCAAAGGGCTAACTCATCTTGTCCAAACACGGAAGCCTTGGCAGTCTCCACCCCTCAGGAAGAGAAGAAGAAAGAGGACAAGCGCAAGTTCTCACAGTTCCTCAACGAGGTGACCGGCAGGGTCCTGAAATCGAACAGCGGCGCCTCACAGCAACACTCCACCTTGCGACACCGCTACCCATCTTCTCCTCCGGCGACCCAATGCCAACCCCCATTGCCGTCGTTTCATTCAACCTCAACAACCCTACCGGCGCCTACCAGCTCCTGGTGCAGCCCCACCAGCTCCAACCTCCAGACCATCAATGAAAATGACTCAAAGGACATCACGAGCTCCATCCAGCAATGGAGCAAGACATTACCCAGCTGTAAGGTCTTAGAACCAGCAGACATGTTGAGGAAAATAAAAGGGGAAAGTCCCTCATACCGAGAGCACGGCATGGAGCTTTGTACAAAGATCCAGTCGCAGGCCTCCACGGGGAGGCTTTATCTGGAGACAGACATTGACAGAGCGAGGCAACTTGATGAACTCATGGCTAATGGTACCCAGATAAAAGAGAGAAAAGAGAAGCACCTAGGAAAGGTGCCGGAGAGAGGCAAAGAGAGAGAGGACAGAAGTCCTTGGGAGAGAAATGGAGCCGTGGCGCCCGAGAAGATAAAAGAAGCTGATCAAGGCAAGGAACAGCTTTGGGAAAAAGAAAGGGAAGGGAAGGAAAAGGAGAAGAAAGTCATGCGTAACTGCTACGAGCCAAAGTGGGGCTCAAATGGAAGGAGTAACCCGTGCCCCGCCTTCAAGTGGCCAGAAGGTTTTCCAAGAATGTCCTACAGGTCCATCTCACTGCCCAGGGCAGTTAACATCACGGTGAGTAGTCCAAGCCTTTGTCCGCATACTCATTCAAAAACGGATCCGACAGATTCTGCGATAAGTCACATTTTTTGTTGTTGTCATTACCTTAAGTCTGATTCCTTAATAGGACTTAGATTCAAGCATTTAACCCTTTCATGCACCCTGTAACCTGATAACATGATCCATTGTTGTAACCGCTGTCCCTGAAAAAGTTAAAGTAAAAAAAAAAAAAAAAACATGCGTAAAAACGCGAGCAGTAAATTGGACACGATGTTTTGTCATTATAGACAACTAATTTGGATTCGCACATCTGCCTCACAATTCCAACTTTCTGTGTTTGAATCTCAGCTCCAGTTTCTTCCCATGTTCCAGAAACATGCACGCTAAGTCCATTGAAAAATTGCCCATGAGGTGTAAATGTGAACATGAATAGTTGTTTGTCTATTGACTGCGATTGACTGGCGACTAGTCCAGGGTGTCACCGCTATGTGAGTACACCGCCATATACGGCTATATAATGTATGTGAATACCGAAACAATTAATCCCATTCCCCTCTAAATCAGTCAATCAGTTTTTGGTGGCATTTTAATGGATTTTTATTTTTCTTAGTCACGTGTTGGGTCTCACGTTTTACAAATTGGTTAAAATGTTGAAAATTTATTTGGGTTTCAGTGTTCCTTGAAGTCGGCAGAAGAAAATGTTCACTATCACATTGACTTATGTGAAATAAAGAATAGCAGCTCAAAAAATATATGGCACCCGGCAATGGTGAAATCTCGGGTCGACTTGCGATCCAGCACCTTGAACTATGTGTTGTAAAATGAGTGGAGAAAATGTCCCAGTTTTTACAGGAAAAAGATGCAGTGATATTTTTTTTACACCTTGACTGACAGAATTTCTGCCCTTCCAATTGACAGTCACATGACGGGTTGTTTGTGAAAGGGCCACGGTAAAGGTCTAATTTTAATTCCCATTTAAATGCATTAGCGTTTTTTTTCTTTTTTGCTAGCCTCCGAGATTTCCACCAATGCAGAGATAAACAAAGAGGGACAAGTGGCATGCAATATTCAAAAATATATTCGACCTTTGCCGCAAATTCGCCTCAAGCTTGAAGTTGTATTTAGGGGACAAAGAAATAAGCTGCCTGCGTGGAAGTATACCATTTGTCCCGGTTTTGGGGGTTCAGGCGTAGAAATAATACTCACTGCTATGGCCTTTCACATTCACTTGGCCTTCACTAGTAACTCTTGACCAACTTATAAAGTAAATACAAAGTATATAACGCCAGACTAGATTTGACAAGAGCCATGAGTAAGAATTTTCAATGTAAATACAGCTAGCATCAACAGCTGTTGAGGTAGTTCGTAATCTCTTTGCAGCTAAGCTAATGCTAGCTTAGCCAAATGACAGACAAAGAGAGCGGGAGCATGTGGGGAAAATGTTCCAGGGCTGGCAAACTCAGTTGTTTTTTTTTTTTTATGTGCGGGAAAAGAGTTGAGAGTTGTGGCAGGAGTGAATAAAACCGCATCATAACCCGCAACCGGCAAATAAACGGCACGTTGTTGAGAATTTGTCCCCTTGAGAGATGAAAACACCTTATAAAATGGCGACAATGAATTATTTTCATCTTATTCTTCGAATGCATTACAGTACTTTGTAGACTCATGTTAACAACAGCGGCGAAAGTAAATATGCATATTTAAATTCATTCATTCATTTTTGCTAGAGGGTTCGTCGCTTAAAAGCGACAATTGTCTTTTTTTTTTTTAAACCAAATTAACTTGCCCGTTGTCCGCATCCACAATGACCTGCACATCTTGAGGCGTCATTGATGCCTTCTAGGAATACTGATACTCTTCCTTCATCCACCCTAAACACACACACACACGCACACACACACACACACACACACACACACACACACACACACACATAGGATAGATAATGGGATGGAAAGAATGGATTAGGAACCATAGCCTCATTCAGCCGGCGTATGACTCATCCTGTTGTGTTTGTGACGTCCATACGGCGCCTTGTCGCACCTCACTCACCCTCTCACACACTCGCAAGCTCAGTATAGTGCATCACGGCACTACAGTATTTTATCACCTCGAAATAAGACTCTAAATTCTGAGGGTAAGTGCAAGATCTGACACTCATAAAAACGAAGAGATCCTCCTCACATTCTTATGATGACGATCGTAAAACCCGAGAAGGTTTGATGGCGGATGCGAAGGTTTGATGGCGGATGCGTGAGTAAAACCTGGACATTTATTTTGGACCTTGGCTGTATTGTGTCGGCTTTGACACAGTGACAGGTTATGGTGCTGCACTAAAAACTAAACCGAGTATACAATAAAGTTCAGCGGGTTTACAGCCATTCACACAAAACCAAGGAACTCAATATATTTTGTTTTGCTGTGGAGGAATTAGTGGGTGTTTTTGCGACGGCTATTTGGAAGGGACAAACAACAATTTAGGTGACTAATTTAAATATATAAATGCTCACACGGCGGGCAGATTTAAAATCGGGTTACACCACCCGCACCACAACTTTGACCTGCTTTTTTTAAGCTGGTTTTAACATTAGTCGACTTTCAGTCACCAAATTATCAGCTGCGCTCGGGACGCGCAGAAGTGCCCTTGGTCTGCAAAATTCCCAAACATGCTGAGGGAGGCTTGCACCAAGATGAAAATCCAGATGTGCCAGTTTTCACAGAAAAGGAATATTAAGAATAGGCGAAAAAAAAATTCTATTCATCCCAACATGTTGCAAATTATAAAACTTCATTTGGGAGAAAACGGTCAATTAAAAATTTGAAAAATATGGCTGTAGAATCTATTTTTAAAATTATTTCCATTTGAATGATATCCCCCAATAATACAAATTGATTATTGGGGGATAAAACTGATTTTATTTTATTATTGGGGGATAAAACTGAGTAAACTGATTTTACTCATCAGTAAAATTAATTGATTTTACAGTTGTGGATTAAACTCAAGAAATGACCAAGAAATCCATTTTAAAAAATCGCATGCTCTCCATATTCGGGATTTACGGGCGAGTCTGGAATGCAACCCCCGTGATAAACGAGGGCTCACTGCAGTTCTATAATGGATTATTAAAGTGTTGTACGCGAGTCTGCCTCCCACCTTCGGGTCCTTCTCCCATTCTGCAGCGCGCAGCATTTTTCTTTTGCTATGCTGCTTCATCTGTCATTTCCCGCGCCGCCTGTTGGCGTCATCTTCGCCGGTGACACGGTAAGGGAAGTGATAATGGATGTGTTTGTTTGACGGGACAGGAGAGCTCGTTAAACGCCACATGAGAGGTGCTCCTACCCATGAATCCGCCTGACAAATAAATCTAATCACTCGCCCCGTCCATCCTCTTCTTTTTCTTCTCCTTCTTCTCTTCCCGCCAGGATTGTGATGGAGAGACGCAGCGTGACATGAGGTTAGACACTTTCCGCTCCTCCTCTCCTCCTGGCAGAGTCGCCAACCACCTCCAAGCACTCTTCTTCGACTTCTTCTTCTTCTCTTCATCTTTAGCCCTCCCCTTTCTCGGCGTACACCTCCTCCTCCCTCCGGTTCCCGTTCAATCCTCACTTTCACTCCGTGTGCATGCCCGGTGAGTCTTCAGTCACAATGAGAGGGAATGCATGCGACTCTGGAGGGATCCACACGCGGCCAAAATGAGGCGGAAAGCCTTTAGACGGTAAGACCGGCGAGGCTAATAAGTGCATGACCGTTTTTTTTTTTTCGCCCCCCTCACCCGTGGGAATGCTGGTTGAAGCAGCTGTGACCAGGTGTTGCATGGCTGTCTATTCACTCGTGTGTCCGTGTGTCTGCGTGTGAGTCCACAAGGAATGTTACCATCTCTACAGCTGTCAACTGAAGCTGCTTCTTTTGCTCACTTGATTGAGATCTCATTTAGATTTGATTACTTTTATGTAGTTGGTTGCACAGACGTCATGAATTCCCTCATGGCTTCTCTACATGTCGCTGCAAAAGAAAAAAGGAGGGGGGTGCTGGGGGGGGCAATTATGAGACAAAAAGTTGAACTCCAGCAAGGCAATCGATTACATTATTGTCCTGCAGAAGAAAGTATTCCTCAGCGTGTTGCCTGCTGGTATGTGTCACAGCATCGTCATGACGTGTCGAAGTTAACTGCTTTGATGTCCAGCTGGTGAAAGCGAAACATCCATTGTGGTGATGTGAGAGGTTTTTAAAAAAAAAAAAAAAAAAGAGAAAAAAAACATGTTAACTTCATACTCTGCTTGCATTAAAGGATGACCTAATCGTACAAATGAACCGCTGAGGTCCAACGTGAGCCGATTTGTTCAGATTTAGAAACGATCCCCCCCCACAGGTAACAACAGAAATTCAATTTATTCTATTTTAGGGCCAAACCTTTGCAAAATGTGAGGCAACTTTTGAAGTATCATATTTGCATTCTGAACCACCTTAAAAAAAGCAATAACTCATGGTAGCTTAAAGTTAGAGTTAGCATTTCCCCCCCACTCTTAAAAAAAAAAAAAAAAAAAAAAAAAAAAACGAGGACAGATTCAGAATCAACACCAGAAAAAATGCAGCATCGGGGGATAATGCAGAGTGGAATGTAGAGAAAACACCACTGACAGGGGGGGTCTGGAAATTTCAGTTCATGCTGACCCACAATTACCTCTTTCTGATCAAAACCGTGTTCAATGTTGGTGACACCCCATCAGATCCCCAACGTATAGACTAGTGGGTATTAATGTTACAACAGATGTAATGCCGTAGTTTGGATCATTTTGAGAGGAATAAGTATACTAACCTAGCCGTGTAACACAAGTTGAGGCTGCTTGAAAGACAGCGACCAGTTGCCGATGATGAAAAAAAAAACGTCCTCCCCGTACGCTTCTTTTACATCTTTTTCACACTAAAATCACAACACTTTATACTCACACTTGATCCCTGCTTAGCTATTCATTGATAACAAACGCATTTCTTGGTTATCTGAGCAAAACTCAGCTCAGCTAAGCTAGGTCGAGAAACTGTAACGTGCTATGAGACGAATTTACACGATCACGAAGATTTTAGTTATTAATGTTTTAATGCAATAAAGTCGTGACAGGCGAACTGCGTCGAGGCTAAAAGACATTCAGTACCAATTCGGGAATCATTACTTAGGGTACTTCGTGTGATTAAGGGGGAAAAAAAAAAACGTCATCAATCTAGCTGAAGCGGAAGTACGACTACGGCAAACACACTTGGTCAAACTTCGTGGATTGTATTATTGCATTGTGTGTGAATGTATTGTCGTAATGTTGTTACAGCCTAATAGAGTTCAACCCCATACATTAGGCTTGTAACTTCGGCAACCCCACTTGGTCAAACCTCGAGTATTGTATTATTACATTGTCTGTGAATGTATTGTCGTTAATGTTGTTACAGCCTAAATGATTTCAACCCCCATACATTAGGCTTGTAAATTTGGGGAGACAAGCATTGTATTCTTTCCTGGCTTGATTTGTAAGTTTCTTCTGTCACCTCGTGTCTAAAACGGTGATTGATTGCAACAAAAATTCAATAATATTACTGTAAATATAGAATAATATAATAAAGTCTGTGCCTGTGTTTTTTTTTTTTAGCAACCCATTTACTGTAATTCAATCAATTTCGTGATTCATGAGTGAATTCAATTCTAGACTGAATGAAATGTAATATTCCTGTAAATATAGAATAATAAAGTCTGTGCCTGTGTTTTTTTTTGAGCAACCCATTTACTGTAATTCAATCAATTTCGTGATGGTGTTTTTGGAGCTGATCAATGCGAGTTTGGGAACGTTTGTCGATGAGAGTAAATCCCCCGCCAATGCGGGTTTTGGTTCTACAATCCCACTGTTTCACACATTTCTTTGTGCGGTTTATAATTCTATTTTGTTCTGCCTTCCGTTCATTTCGAGTAGAATTCCACTGTCGACCACGAGATGGTGGTACACTATTTAGTTTGACACAAAAATTGGAAAGAAGAAGAATGAAAACTGGAAGTACTTTCAACTCGGCCTAGATTTTGTTGAGGATTTTTGAACGTCATATTCTCCTTAAATCCTGCTTTTTACGCCTACAGAAATTGATGGCTATATGTTTGATTTTTTTTTTTAATTCCTTTATTTATTTAGTTAGGAAACATTTTTTTCTGAATTTTTTTTATTTTGCGGGGGGGGGGGGCTTGGAACGAATTAGGGCATTTACATGGAAAACGTGTCTCGACAGACAAAATTATCTTGTTAAGAAATTTCTTCCAGAACCAATTAATTTCATAAGTAGAGGTACCACTGTATGTACTTTGCCAGCTTAACGGAAAAGCAACTTTACTAAGACTACTATATTAGATAGAGTCACGCGTTCGATTACTGGTTACTAAAACTGGCAGCCATTATTGAGTAGCATGTGCCTTGCCTCACTGGTACCGACACCAATCGGATAAACAAAAGTGACTGCTACCCATCTGACAGCCTCTCTATCCGCACCTAAACCAAGGGGATCAGCGATCATCACATTCCTGACCAAATTACCAGAAACCACCAGCAACGAAAAGATCGTGCCTCAAACAGTCTGCAAAGCCACCACCCGCGTTCCATACTTAAAGCGTTTCCACCCATTTCATGGAGTTACCAAGCAACTAAACCAAGTCTCGAAAAACGCCGATTCAATTAAAATCACACCATCAGCCATTGGGACAGATCACGGCACAGTTGGTTCGTCTGTCGCCTGCCTCCAACCTTGGCATTTAACATCCACACGCAGATGCTGTGCGAGCCGGCGGCAGTTTACCACCGCCGCCAATTACCGCCGACAGCATAAGCCTCCTCGGTGCTGCTTCGATGGACCTCGCAGTGTCTTATGAACACGCCGGAGGAAGTGGGGCACGTTGTTGGAGGAAGTGGGGCACAACTTCGGAGATATTTAGCAACCATCGCCGCAAACCCCGAAGCGTCTGCCGTAATTTCCACAGAAACAAAATTGATCTCAAACATCAAAGTTCGACTTGAGTCACAAAACGGATTGCCCCACTGTATTTTACATCTGATTAATTCATCCATTTTTCACTCCCCTTGAGTGTTGAACGAGCCTGCAAATCACACCGTTTCACCCACTTGGGGGGCGGGGCAATTGCAGATCAATCTCCCCCATTTCACAAGAGCAGACAGTCTACCGCGCCCCAGAGGCCCATTGCGTGATGTTCCAATCTGCATGGACACTATTTTGCCCAAAACTCCCTCCGGCGGCGTCCTACGCTGCAACACATGGCGGACTTCCAGATTGTCAGTATGTGCTGTGATGATGAAAAAAAAAAAAGAAGAGAGACAGACGGCCAGAAGGCGAACACAGCAGGATGCCTGTCGTGAGACTGTACATGTAACACTTTCGCTCGGGTGCACTTGATAGTTGCAACATGAGTTGTGACTGCCGGTGGGACTCGGCAAACAAAAACACAATATCACTCGGCCAGCAGAACAAGACGTGACGATATAAAGGCCACATTGCGTATGCTTGCCATTAGAGAGCCACTTATGACCATATAAATGTGCATGCAGTATATTGTTTTCAAGTATCTCTTGGGGTCACGAACTATGGGAAACATCACTCGCTCTGCATGTCACGTTTTTCAGATCGTTGGGTGTGGATGGGGAGGGGGGCTGTAAATTTTGCTGTAAATTAGCTCTCAGTATGGCTCCCAAGAAAGTAAAAATTGCAAACGACGGCACTATGAAGAAAGCCTGGAGTGTTTGCGAATGTATGCAGCATCTGCTGAGCTCTCACTGGTTAGGTGAGCCCTCCTCAGCCGAGCCCTGCAGGGGCGAGAGAGAGCGAGAGCGCTAGAGGAGAGCTATAAGGCACTCTTGAGGCCACAGCATTTCAAAGCACAACACACAAGCAGAATCGTGTATGCGGATTTGCGTGACTTTTGACTTGAAATGATGTCCTGTTTTTGGAGAATAAAAAAGACGGACATTTGGATAGAATGTTATTTTTCAGTCTGAGACGTCAAAGAATTGAAAAATAATCATTGTCAAATTAATTGAGTCTTGAAATAATCATTAGTGAGCAACTCGAAAATTGAAACATGTGCAGCTAATCCATGTGATTGAAATCAGAATCGGTGTTGGCTGAGCGCCCTCATGGATGATCGGAAATTGGAATAGTCAGCATAAAACCCAGAATGGGAACACCCCGAGTGAAAACGTAAGGAAAAAAATTCCCCAAACTAAATCATGCTCCTAAGTCAAGGCACGACTGTTTAATCAACTGCAAAGCTTTTTACATTTTAGTTTGTTGACAAAAAAATGTGCAATGTGACAAGATTTCAGTCTGTCAAAATGTGGAGCGTATTGGAATGGCCAAATCAACCCGAGTTTTTGGTGGTCGACTGGTTAGCGCGTCAGCCTCACAGTGCAGAGGTGCAGGGTTCGATCCCGGCTCCGGCCTTGCTCTGTGGAGTTTGCATTGTCTCCCCCGGGCCTGCGTGGGTTTTCTTCGGGTACTCCGGTTTCCTCCCACATTCCAAAAATGTGTGGCAGGTTAATGGAACACTCTAAATTGTCCTTCGGTGTGAATGTGAGCGCGGATAGTTGTTTGTCTATGTGTGCCCTGCGATTGGCTGGCAACCGGTTCAGGGTGTCCCCTGTCTACTGCCCAAAAACAGCTGGGATAGGCTCCAGCACGCCC